ACTAATTAAATCCCATAAATCATAGAAGAAATGGTAAGAGAACAATTTCAAGAAAAACGAATTCCAAAAATTACCAACTTCATAATCTGGACTGTTATTTTTAATGCCAAGTACTTCATAACCTGTGTACATATGCTTTTAATATGTATTTGATGACTGACTTTCCATTTTGGTTTAACTAGTCAAGCGGTAAAGTTTCATAATAACAGAGTGTAATGTGAATTTGTATCCCACTGGAACCATCAATAATTTAGACATTTCAAATGAATACGAGTTTGCACAAAAGTTTGATCTATAGCTGCCTCTCTCAATTATAATTACTTAACACATTTAAAATCTCACTGTTTTCGAAAAAGTCAACTTTTAACATCACAATTGCTGATAACAATCTTATTTATCTAACCTTAAATATACTTCACTTACATCCTACATCTTCTTTTACTGAATGATGAAATAAGGGAAAAACGTTTTGAGAAAGTAACAAATATTATCTATTTAACCATATAACATACAAATAGATTGAATAGATATAAATTCAGTCAAACTTTCCAAACTTTACCTAAGGTGTTAATTGATTACTAGGTTCCGTTATAAGTTTTGATTTTAAAGAAGCTAACTAAAAGTGTTTGACCTCTTCTTTGAACACTGTATTTATACAACTTTATTCTCATAGTAAATACGAGAGACTTAACAATATCTTCGTGTGAGTTAATAATTTAAAGTGACTTTATGAGTTGAGAAATATTCAACCAACAGAAGAAGAAAGAAGGAAAAAATCCGAAAAGTTAAAATAAATTATGGTTACTTATTATTTTCAAAATCATAAGTTGAATGGAATTAAATTCCGTTTTTTTAAAAAAAGACATGAAATAGGTGTAGAAAAAAAAGTGAAATCTTGGTAAGGGAAAAGATGTAACACTTCACAACAGTCATTAGATCTCTGTAGAAGAAAACTAAATTTCTGAATAGCTTTACCAAGAGACACTGAAACACAGGAAATAATTTAACAAATAATTCTAATGTGATATCGGTAGACCTTCCTGTAACCTTATATATCGTCTGATAATTTCCTGTAAAGCAATAAAAATGAGTGACTGAATTCGGCTATGCTGACCATCATATTATAACTTCTTTATTTATAGTCCCTACATAAACACATAAATATTGGTACAAGGAAGTACCAAATACATATGCGCTGCACAAATCTCCTTTGATTTGTGTGAGAGCTGGGATACTGCCCAGGTGCCCACACTGAAGCAGGTGGTTTTCTTAGGGGGCCATACCAGGAGTCTTTAACCTGAAGGTCTAATCCACAAGGCAATGGAGCATCGTGAGGAGATGCAGTCCCATGGTAGCCGGTGACCAACGATTGATTCATACGCCATTTGTTCCCTCAGGATACTGGAGCACATATGCACCATTGACTTGGAATCAGGGTTTTCCAACTCCCCTAAGTGGACACTGCACATCCACCGGCCTGGTTAAAGCGCCGGACATTCGCTTTTCGTCCTCTCACTTTCGTGAATAACACCCCGCCATGAGAAGGCGGTGAGTGATTAGGACTTCCTTGGCAGAGACTATATACGCGTGCCCATGTGAGAGCGTTTTGAGGAGGAGAGAGGACTCTCCCCACTCTCGGCCATACCAGGGCATTTGGGGGCCCGGCCAGCTTAGTCGGTAGAGCATGAGACTCTTAACCTCAGGGTCGTGGGTCCAAGCTTCACGTGGGGCGTCGTTCAGTGAGGCAGCGCACGTGTCTGCTAGATGCCGACTTTTGAATAGTCCCTGCTAATGCCTCCGAACGTGAAGCGCACTGGTTCCGTTGCTGGATATGTGATGAGTATGCATTGCTTAAGAGTTGCAAACTTCTAGTACACCTTGGTCTTTGTGATAATCAAGCAGGCGTTAGTCTGTGACAATGAAACACACATGAAAAAATTGGATTCCATTATTTATCATGCTACTCTTACATTTCTGGATATTTTAACACAAATGTTTGTATCAAAATATTTACGAAATCATATTGAACAACTTAATAGCTTACGTGTAATAAGACCACAGTCTGGAAAACATAGTGCAAAATAAAAATAGAAGTTCAATAATCTCTAACATAAATATGTGGAAACTATCATCAAAAGTACATAATTAATGGTGTGAATGGAAGCAAACTGCTGAAAGGTATAGTATTCAACTGAAAATGTTGATTAACGTTAATATATAACGGCAAATATTTAGGTCAATCGTCCATGTTGCATCATAAGTACTAAACAAAAGTAATATTTCATTTTTAATTAAACAGGCAAAAAGTGATTTTCACAGTAATGTAATTCTCAAATAAAGGAATATTTTAATTTATTTTATAAGGTTACCAACGTAGATCACAACTCTGATCCATGAGAAAATGTGCTGAAAGAATAACCATACTAAAGAAATTACTGCTAAGCATTAAGTATTCCTACCATCGTTAAATCAATACGTCTTAAAAGGTGTACATAGTTGGTACTGGTTTCATAAAAGTATATTGCTTGTTATCGATAAGATTTTTTATGTTTAAGTTTACCATATAGATTTGAATGAACTGAAGAAACAGAAATCACATTTTTCAGAACAACCAGCTTTCTCTTTTAATGATCATGTGGAAAATTCTTTTATTATTGTGGTTGACATAAGCTAAGAGATACCATACAGCATAAATGATAAAATGCATTTTATAATATACTTTAGTATAAATACAATGAGGCACACATGTTCTAAGTTAGCGTTGTCTTAAAAGTGTTTAGTTTGTGCTAATATAAGTCTTGTTTCTGATAAAACAATTTGAATAACTGAATTATATATATGCGATCCTTATTTTGCTGATCTTTCATAATCACTAAAACAAATATATAAAGATTTGCCTTAAGTGTCTTGTAATGTGTGATCAGATTGTTCGAAATGTATTGCGTTAATATATCACATAGTTCTGATAATCTTCGTCTTCTCATTACATTATCGAAAGTCTCGTAAGTAGTTTTGTCTTATGATATTGTGTAAGTCTTGGAAATAGTGTCATTAATCAAAATGAACTTACGAGAAGTTGATTCATCTAAAAGAAGCAAGTTATTAAGTTATCATTGACTTTGTATTATAGGAAATCGTTCAGAAATTTGTTATGTAGTTTTTATTTTGATGACTATGGTCTATAGGGACTTTTGAATTTTCTTAGTTTACATTACATACGGAACTTAGACAACTGCAGAAATCTAAGGAATATTCAATAGCTGTTTCATCTTAGTGTATTACTCCATGGTAGTGTCTATGATCCTACTAGTGGGGATCGAACTCATGACCTACAGGTATCATTGTGAGCGGTTGACTTTTAGACCACTGAGCATGCATGCAAATCAGTCTGAACTCCCAACTACAGTTAGTTTGAGATATTTTGAAAACATGTTTCGTTTTGTTTTCAATTTAAACATGTTTATTTGCCTCTGGATAGAAAGGGCCATTTAATGAGGAAATACTTTACTTAACATTTTATTTCATAATTTCGACAGGTTAACTAATATATTTTTCGGGTCCGAAAAAAAATTACAAGCAGTTTCTTTATTTGTTATAATCAATAACCGATTGTGATATTTAGAACTTTTAATATTAATTATTAAATAAACTAATGGGATTTAATAACTCTTATGCTAAATACAAAACCGTAGCCAGAAGTTCTATTATTAATTTATATTCCATATAATTGAAGTTTTTCATAGTTTTGATTTTCTGTAAAGCATATTTCATAAGTTGGATCCTAAAGAAATAATTTACTATATAATTTGCATCTTAACTCTTTTGTAACTTTACAAATAATGTATTCTTGGTTTTTCAGATATATCACTGAAGACAATTGATGAACGGTTGCTGAAACTTCGTGGATTGGTTAAAGTTAGACATTAACGCCATTGAATGCCGGCCATCTCAATGATCTATTGGCTAAGTGCTCTGGGTTCGAATCTCGCGAGGCAAGATCATGGATGCACACTGCTGAGGAGTCTCACAATAGGATGAAACGACCGTCCAGTGCTTCCAGGTTTTCCACGATGGTCTAGCTTCAATTGACTCATGATTTCAACTATGAAAATATATCAGTTTTCTTTCTAATCCAATATCTTAAATCAGTATTATTCATTTAAAATTTTGATTTATGTTGAACTCACCACGTTCACATTCTAAATAAGAATGAAAAAGTACTCGTCTTAAAATTATTCAAACATTTAATCATTTGAATACAACAAAGGTTGTACACATTATATGACATTCAATAGTTTTGTTTGTTTTTTTATTGTTCTAAAGGAGTAAATAATATGAAACTTACCAAGTTCTATTGCATGTACTAAAAAAATATTTAAATAATACCTTCACCAAGAATTTTTAAATTGAAACTTTTTGCTTTCTTAAAACTAACTAAATATCTAAAAATGTAATGATCAAAACTTATATGGAATATTGTTGTATTCCGAAGAGAATTGTGAATGGTAACTTTTGGGGACTATTTATGAACTAATATGGTATGTATATTTCCTATTATATAATTGTTAGGTAATTAAATTATTCATATTCGTGTCCCTTTTATTATGAGCTTTATTTTGACCCATAGACTATTATAATACGATTTACCATTCATACGTTATCCCTAGTCCATTAATTACTGTTCCCCCTATTCACAGCCACATTTGGCCAAATCTTGTACAAATGTTATTTTCTATTTTGTGGTACAATGTGGTCTGTTTGGTTGGTTTATAAACCCAGTATTTTTGTGAATAATGATTCATATTACATGGGCTGTTATTGGTGTTCTGGACTAGGCAGATAGCAGGACTGACAAGCACTCTAGACTGCTCGTATAGTTTTCGTGTGTCACTGTCCCAATCGATAATTCGCTGTTCTCTGATTGGCGGGCATCATCACGTTATGTATCAAACAGGGCACGCACGCACACGTTATAACAAATATGTTTATTCTCAAGTCAATTAATTATGCTCACTCTCATAATGTTTCTTTAATGATGTTGCATTTTGATTCTTTACAATTTTATTCAACTGTTTTATCATGAAAGGAATATTTATTTGAAGATTTTTATGAAGTTTCACTTTGACTTTAGCAGAAAATGATACAACACTGCTGTAGTAAACATTTGGATGAAATGCTGCCGTACAGACATTTCTTTTTGGGAGACGTAATCTCAGAGATGCATATGTAATTTGTGTCACCTGAAATTAACAATATATAAAAAATGAGTAACTTATGCTAACTAGGGAAACATTGTAAGTAAATACCAATAATGAAGAAGTTAGACATATTTTGAAAAGTTTCTGTGAAGTATAAATCAAAAACTTGAATGAAACATTATATGTACTTCTGTGAGAAATATCTTAATAATTCTTCTAATATCTTTCAATAAAGCTTTTCTTACAACGATTTATTCTGACTGTTCTAAATCACTGGAATAATTAACCAGAGGATAAATGCCGCATTGGAAGTTGTTTATCCATTAGCAAGACTGACAACGTTATGTGAAACCAACTGCTCACTCGAAAAAACAAAAATTGACATGTTTCTCAGTACCTTCAACTGAATTTATATGTACGTGTTAAAGCACATACATTGGAAGAACACAGAGAAGAGTACATGTTCACATTTCCAAGCACGTCCCAAAGAACTTGAGATCAGGGAACAAAAAATCTCTAAATAGTTCAATAGCTCGGAATATTATTGACATTCAACAAGCCTACAAAGTTATTAGCAGACAGAAAAACTCAGCGTCTCTCCGGTTTCCCGAAGCAATGTCAATAAAAATCCTGGAACCTGATTTATGTATTACGAAAGAGAGAACAATAAACTTATTACTACCTTGATAAATTATTTTTGTCACAATCATTAATTATTAGTATCTGTTTTGTAATGCGGTTCTTTGAGTACTTCCTATTTTATGTGCACCAAAACTATTTATTCACTTAATTCTCTTAAATTATATGAATTCTTCAAATCATGTTCCAGAATTACGTAACCCGTCTTATCAGTTTCTAATTTCAGTAATTTTATGTAAACCATTCACAACCTCTAAAATTATTACACAATCCATCTTATCCGTCTTCAAGCCTCATTTAATTAATGCATCATCCATCGTTTCACACCACATGTCTCATACACAATAAAGCAAATACTTACTTTAAACATTGTTAAGTGGGTTAAATGACCTGTGTAGTATACAGATAACCGAAGAACTATGTACTTCTTTACATTCGATAATTTTGATGTTTGATCATATTTCCTTGAAGAAGCTTGGACCAGATTGCCAAGTAAAACGTGGGATATAAGTCATATTGGTTTGCTGAGATTTGATAAACACATTCTTCCTCCTTAATGTTTCACATCAACTCAGCGCCAAAATACTGTGGAACAATTCGACCAAATTTAGATGGAAGTTCTTATAACCTTTATCATCCTAATTATTTTCGTCATCAGTGTCAATTGTTTAACAACATATCATACCTCAATATTACCTTTCATTACATATATGGTTGTAAGCGATTGATGAGAAACCAAGACACATAATCGATTTATATTATTCTGCATTATTTGTTGTTCTGCCTTAATGCAAATTCATAAGGGGAACTTATTGCATAATCATTCATCTTCTGCGACTAATAGTAATGTGCGCGTAAAAATTCTTTATGTCTTTAACTAGAGTATACCATAAGAGTAATTGAAATCAACACAACTGACGGACAATGAAATGGCAGCATACCCATATGATCAACCAACTGTTTAATTTTATGTTATCTTTGTAGGATCTTGAACAAAACTAGTAATTTTTAAACTTTTCGAACTATCATTCTGACGTTGACACTTGAATGTCTCAGAAATCAACATTTGTTTCACAATTTATGGAAACATATCGTTGTACAATAATTATGCCCTATCTTATCATAAAGAGATAAAGTAAGAGATTTTTGCCTTCATTTAAGAAATAATAATTTAGATGTTACGGAAAAGTAGCCTGATTCTCATTATAATAAAATAATATAAAGAAGCACCTATATCCACTTGAAATGACTGTAATTAGATCTATTTAAAATCATCTTGTAAAGATCAGTATAAATTTAGTCTCAACCTAGAAATAAAATCATCTGAAGGGAAACTGAAATCCAAAACACAATAAAATTTTATTTACAGCTAGTTTTAAAACTCTCAGTTATGCGTACCAGCGACTTCATCAAGAAATCCATCCAAGATTTGCAGGTCTTTTGATAAGCATGATACATTCGGAGGACTGAATCAACATTCATTAATTTATTTACGTGATATCCTACATACCTAATAGGACCACGATAAAACTTTAATGAAACTTATTTTCTTCCACCTGAACGATAACTTACTTTTGCCCACAAAGGTGAATTCCATTCATTCATTTTATTACCAATATCATCTCGAAAGAATGGTTCATAGCACTTCCCATTTTTCATGTTTCCACTAAAAGTAACTTTAATATTTTCTATTAAATTCAAGGTAAAATGAATTTAAATGAATCATAAACGAAAATGTAATTAAGTTCATTTCTAAAATTTCCTAATAGAGTAATTTAATTATTAACCAAAATTAAAATTCATAAGATCTTAACTGAAGCGTAAGGTTAAACTGGAGTTTTTCAAGTCTAACGTTTTCTTTTATACACTATTTCTGAAACAGTGACAATCAACTATCACAACAATAATGATATTAATAATAATATCAAACATTTAACAAGTATAAGTTTATGTTATCGAGTTTGATCTAAGCTGTTCACCTAAAAGCTGAGGATGCTACCTTACTATCCAAACAAAGTCAGTGGATCCGAGTTTAAACCTACTACTTACTGGTTAAAACCGACACCATAAAGACGCCAATATAATTATTAGCGTCGAACTCCTAGATTAATTATATTGAGCCGCAATTATGACACCTTAAATTTACAAAATAAACTATCATTATTAGTCATTTCAAACAACATTTTTAAGTTTTGTATATCTGTTATCCCTTGAGTAGAAACGTCAAAAGAATAAAACATTTACAAACAACCCTAAAGTATCTGGAACACCTTATCTTTTACTTTGAACATAAAAGCTTCTTAAATTAGAAGTACTAAGATAGGTGACAAGGTGTTGACTATTGGAATTGATTTAATATGAAATTTCATATTTAGGTATCCTTAAAACCTCATTTATTTTATTAGTCTAGAAGCTTTCAGTACGTATCGAACACCGTTGATTGCAAAGGAGAAGATTTTTCTTGGAACTGCTATAGAATAAATAATGACAATAACTAGGCTAATGGCATTTTTCCTTTCATATGATTGGCACTAGAGCCTCATACTAATGAATGCGTTTATACAATTGATACTGGAATGAATACCATTCAAATGCTTGATAATCAGTTAAAAGTTTGATAAATCCAATGTTACCTATAAAAATATTAATAAATGTGATTAAGGTAACTATTTCAAGATTGTGACAAACATATTAATCGAAAATGTGAAAAGCTTAAATCCCTCATTGTAATCTAACATGCTGCTTTAAAATTTACTGACTTTAAAACACCTATTCGGAATATTGAAAAAAATATTGTTTAAGTAATCACGTATTACTTGTTTATAGTTAAATGTGAAGAGACGATGGTTGTAAAAGGACAAAAAAAAAGTGAAAATACAAAAATAATAACATAATGCAAACAGACTTCAAAAGCTTTTAAATATTGAACATTTGGTCCTTTTTGGTATATTTTTTTAATTAGTAAATGATTAATTTACACAAAGTAATCGTTAATGAAAATCGATTATGTAACAACTCCGTAAAGAAAACTTAGTTACTCTATAAGGTTGCTAGGTATCAGCGCAGCGATAGCATAATCTTTAATTTTGAAACTTGATCATTTAAATTTATTTCTCTTAGAGTAACTAAGATTAATTAAATATTATTTTTATATTAATACCGAAATTCATAAAAATGATGAAATGGATATTTTGTGTTTAGCCAAATGTTGATGTTATTATAATTAGATGTGTACTTGATAAGATAAATTTCCATAAAATGATTCTTTGTGTAAGGTAATATTCAGTTGCCTATATCTTTTTATTGGTAAAAATGAAGATACTCTATCTAAAGAAAGAATAATAACTTGGCAAAAAAACTAATAGAATGTTTATGTTTGACAAATAATTATGTCTTGGACATCCATAAGAAAGACACAGTGAATCTATGTAACTATTTTAGGATATTACCAGCTACTTCTTTCATATTGATCGTTTATCATGTACACTGCTAAGACAATATAAAAAGTAACATGAAACTAAAAAAGTATGCACTAACCTGAACATATCATAACGCATAGATATGAGATAATGATGTGATATATCAAGTTGCGATAAACGTTTGGCATGGTGAAAAAGAAATATATAAGTAACCATCAGGCTTTTCTGAATTTATATTTGTTCCAAGAAATTATTAGAAGTTCCTCTGCACTTATAATTGAACGCTATAAGTTTATTGGCTGAAAACGATGACCTACTGTATATTCACTACTTTGAGAATGTAAAGATAATTCTTAACGAGATGATCAGTTTAATTCATATATATATAGTTATGCAAAATTATATGTACCTAAATAAAAATGAAGGGATGACATTTATACTAAATAGGTGTGTTTAAGGAAAATAAAACCTGCACATATAATTGAGATTTTTTCACTGAACTACAGAATTACGAGTTAAATCAATAGACCGGTTAAGTGCTTTGATGCGAGACTTGTAGGTTTCGGGTTCGAATCTCGCAAGGCGGGATCGTGGATGCGCATTGCTAAGTTGTCCCACAATAGGACGAGTTGGCCGTCCAGTGTTTCCAGGTTTTCCCTGGTGATCTAGCTTCAATTGACTCATGATTTCAACTATGAAAATACTGAAATCTCTACAAAACCCCTTTTGACCAAATCAATAAAACGCAATAATATCGCAACCGAATAATCTTGATCCTAATCTTTTCATTTTTCCGGTGTTATATCAAAAGAATCTGAAATGTAAACTGTGACACACAAACCAATGTATATGCTTATTTTCTTTCAGAACTACCAAAAATTCACATAAAGGTAAATATTATCTGATTTATCGGAAGGTATATACACTTTCGAAGATTTAAATGATAAATTTTAAAATCAGTGAATCTGTTGTAGAACTATTGGTTATCTTATCTTACTTCTGTAGATCAAAGCTTAGAACCCTTTTATTACTGTAGAGGTTAACGTCGCTGTCCCATTATTTTCAAAATGTATTGTAATTGAGATCTACCAAAATCAGCATCTTGATCTGCTTAAACTGACACAACAGCAACTACTATTGTGACATTTGGATTCTCAATATTATTTTGAATTTTGAAAAGTGAAAGTATTACGTAATTCATATCTTCTTCCATTGGTTGTTGTATGTTAATATAGTGCGATAGACATTATAATGTTCATTTATTTCATCGTCTTTTTCTGAGACGTAGAATCGTTTTCAAAAACACCTATTTCCTTCCTTATTCGCATCTATCTGTAATATTTAGGACATCACTATCTGTAACTCGTCCTGTCTAACTAGTGCCAACAGATCAGCTCTCGTATAAGAGACATTTCAATAGTTCGCATTCAGAACCCAACATAAACAAATGTCAAGACGTACCTCATGAGGAATCAGACATGGTGAATATGCGATATTGCACTGCGATTAGCAATCAAACTCATGTCACAATTATTTAAAGATTGAATATGTTGGTAAGCGACAAAATGAGTTTGCAAGTCTAGACAGAAAAAATCAATAAAAAGTAATGAGAGAAAAAGTCTAGAGAAAATAAAACATTAATTCAGATAATTATACTGAGAATCATCGAAATAACACGCTTTACATTAACTTAATTAGAGAAACTGGGAATTTCAAAGTCGACGACTATTATCAGATCAGATGATTATTGAAAGAAGAAAAGGTTAGGATTAGTAGTAGGGTGTTTGGGTAGACTCAGGAGTTTAGTTTAAGGGCTGTGGTTAGAGTTTAATCACGCACTGTCATCAGCTATTATGTAAAAATGATCTGTAGCGGTATGAACTAAAAAATCAAGATGTATGGTATCGATTCTGGATAGCTAGGGCCTTCTTCACGAATCGATATCAACTAAACTTATAGCTCTACCATTTTAAGGTCAATAGTTAGACTGACGAGGATTGGGTATAAGAGGAGAGCTTAAAGGAAATGAAATTCTTTTAGTCACGCGAACACCCCTGACTATGTCTAGAATCATATCAAGGAGATCCAGTATGTAATCAGAACCTTAATATTTAGGTATAAGCAATTTTTAACATAGCTCTAAATAAGACAATCAATAATCCGCTGCGTTTTGAATACAACGCAAAATCCAGCAGGTACCATCTTAAATCTGATTGACCTAATGAAAGTTGTGAATATAATATAGTTTTACCACGGTTCATTTGGCTTATCAGGAAATAGAAGGAATGTGAATCATGAAGAAATTTTACACGTCCGTTTTTTTCCAAAAAGGTGTATTCACCTAGATTACTTAGGTGAAATCTCGTCTTTTTATTAGCAAATACTTCCACCAAAATTATTTTCCGATGAGGATACTTCAAAGAACAATGAACGATTCACTGTTAATCTATCAAGCAAACAGAACACAATAGCATTTGATTTCTTCCACCAAGCAAATAATTTTCTTCATTACATATGTGTATAGTAACTTTCTTATCAAAAATTTCACCTCAGTTTACTATTCTTACATTCTGTTAAAGAAACAGTTAAATGTAGTATGATGCGACTTTTATCTTTGTAAGCAATACACATCGGAAGCGGAATTAACTGAAATAAATCCAAATTATAAACTTTTAAATCATAAGTGTTAGGTCTGTTTGTTTACCACATCAGAGTTGTCCAATTCTTACTACTATCAATAGAATCGGATGCATACCATCATCGCCTCCACATACTATTAACGAAACATTCATACCGATTGTCAGCGTTTTTGCCATAATCATATTAACCATGACCTAACACTTCTACCACCATATATTTTAATGACTTAACTTTATAAAGTTTTGAACAACTCTTAACTGTTCTTGTATGCGTGCTTGATTTAAACTTTCATTTTTACTTATATGTTATTCTTTAGCTTCATATTTGGTTATAAAGTGCACCCTGTTTAAACTACTCCTGTAGTTTACACGTGTTCATGATTTTAGCTGGTCATATTTGCACCAGCTGCTCTTCCTCCTTTAGATCAGTTATAGCTTTTTGAACTTCAGGTAGGGTCGATGGACCTACTTCAATGTTCCATTCAAACTGTCTGGGAATAGTGGGTAGTTTTGCAAGTGTTTATTAACAGTTGTCTACACAAGATACTTTGGATCCGATGGCCAGACACTATCAGCAACAAGTTTATTGTGGAAGACAACAAACCAGATTCCATTGGAGTAAGAAATCAGGAAGAAGCGCTGGAAGTGGATAGGGCACACTTTGAAGAAATCACCCAGTTGTGTCACAAGACAAGCCCTCACATGGAATCCTGAAGGTCAAAGGAGGAGAGGAAGACCAAAGAACACATTACACCGAGAAATAGAGACAGAAATGAGAAGAATGAACAAAAACTGGATAGAACTAGACAGGAAGGCCCAGGACAGAGTGGGTAGGAGAAAGCTGGTCGGCGGCCTATGTTCCATTGGGAGTAACAGGTGTAAGTAAGTAGGTAATCCCCATCCAAATGTTTAAACCTCATTTATTTATTTGAACGGATACTTCCATCAGATCTCATTGCCTCAATAACGTCAGTCTCCAACATTTTATTCAATAACAGTTTATTTGTCTCTGTACTTTATAATTCATTTCCTTCAACTTTCTTGAGTATTATCTGAGCTTAACGGATTTAATCTGATGATCAATTCTATTATTGTAGTTGTTATTACGTGACTTGTAGAATTCACTTTTTCAATAACATGTCTCCTCAATCCTAATTCAGTTTCCCCCTATAGTACTCGCATTATTTTACAGACAAAAATCTTTTATAATTGTTCCAAAATAATTTCTATTGATGAGAATTTTTCTACTGTTATAGTATGAAGTATTTAGACGTTTTTTAATAAGCATTATTCATACTACTACTTTTTGGGTTGTAAGTAGCTGAAAGAGGATTATCAAAATGAATAAATTCATCTGGTTCTACTACTATATTCGTTCCTTTTGCTTTACTCAAATATGTTAGTTTGATTGTTAGCAATTTTATTTACAGTATGTTTCATGAGGACCACAATAAGTCGGTGTTAATTTATTATATTCTCTTACTAGTGAGATTTGTAAAAATCAGCTATCTTTATACTTATTTAATGGACAGAGATATTCAGAGGCGACGCCACTAGTCAAATATTAATTCAGAGATTACGCAGAACAATCAAAAATCATTCAACGTTGAAGAAATACGATTAGTGTTTTCCATTCGCCCGATAGTGACACCGAGGCTAAAAGATGGATTTCTTAAAATGATCACCACACTTTGTATTTATCAATTCGACTGCTCTTGTGAAGCAAGTTATATTGATCGAAGTCCTAGTAATCTACATTTTCGTGCTCGAGAACACCTCTCATTGTGAATAGGCAACGGTCTAATGAAGAAAGTGAACAGCTTGATTTTGGCCAATTTAGTAGAAACTGGCCATAGTGCAAGTATGAAACAATCCTTTTCAATTATTTCTCGGGTCAATAACTTTTGACAAAGCCTGTCAAACTCAATGTCCTTCAAACCACTGAAGCAGTAGCCATCGAAGCGGCACACACACATCTTTGTTCAGATGTCACTTCACTAACGATCGAAGAAATCAGGATGTCTATCAGACAGACTAAGAGTGGGTAAGCAGCTGAATTTGACATGATCTCAACACCCCAAGCAGAATTTATTGGCTAAAGAGAATCAGATTAAAAAGATAATACTTACAATTATCAATAAATATCATCCTTCTAACGGACTAATATTTGAAAAGAAATGTGTTTTCATAATCACGATTATTAAAGTTTTCATGAAATATTATACTCAAACGACTTTTTTATTGCAATTTATTCAAGCATATACTTGGAGTTCATTGATAAAACGAAGAAAAATTACTTACTTACTTACTTACACCTGTTACTCCCAATGGAACATAGGCCGCCGACCAGCTTTCTCCTACCCACTCTGTCCTGGGCCTTCCTGTCTAGTTCTATCCAGTTTTTGTTCATTCTTCTCATTTCTGTCTCTATTTCTCGGTGTAATGTGTTCTTTGGTCTTCCTCTCCTCCTTTGACCTTCAGGATTCCATGTGAGGGCTTGTCTTGTGACACAACTGGGTGATTTCTTCAAAGTGTGCCCTATCCACTTC